TGTCGAATCTTTGTTTTAAATTTTAAATTATATTAAATTATAAAATATAAATTTTTAAATAAAAAATACATCTCTTAATATGAAACTTTTTTTAATTTAAAATTTTCTATTTTATATAATTATATATATTTTGAAATTTAAGAGAGTGGACTTGTCATTCGTTGTACTTGTCAAATTATTTGTAAGTATCACGCTACTTTTAAGCGGTTTTATAATTTATCATTCAGCTTATATGAGATTAAAAAAATAATTAGAAAAAGATTGAAAAATGGAACGGGTTGACCATTATAGAAGAAAATAAGGCTGCAGCCTGCAAATGAAAAGGACGTTACCAATCACATGTTGGGTCAAAATAAAATAAAAGTAACTGATTTTCATTTAATTTGAATTTTATAAATGAAAAATAAGTATGAAAAAAAAAATTTTAAAGAGATTTTACATAATTTAATATTAAATTAATTAAAAATCAATTTAATTGTTGGATATGAAAAGTATAAAGAAATAAAATTTTTAAAAAAGGTTATTTTGGTAAACGAAGCACCGAAGCAGTTTCTTAAAAAAAAAGGCTCTCCTCCGCCGTACAGCCAACAAATAAACTGCTGTCCCGTTTTCCTGTTGTCTTCTTCACTGCTCCTGTCCGCATTAATTACTGACTTCGTTCCTCTCGCCGGGCTATTCTGCATTTCGTGCGATCAGACCAAGAAAAGAGAAGGAAGGAAGAAGACACAATCGAAGCCTACTGTTCGCCGTCGTTTCATGGACACTCTCTCACATGCGATCAGCTCCGGCGTCGCTCTTCCGCGCAGCAGCAGCAGGTCGTCTCCTCTCCTCTGCCATGGATTCGGTTCTTTGAACTTCCGTACGCGGAGAACACATACTCGGAGCAGAGTTTTCGCTGAGATTCAACGCAACCAGAGCATCGATTTTAACGATCCTGATTGGAAGTCCAAGTTCCAGTGGAATTTTGAGGAGCGCTTTAATATTCCTCACCTCACCGATGTCTTCCCCGATGCTTCTACAATTCCTTCTACATTTTGCCTCAGGATGAGGTAAATAGAAATTTGCTTCATTTTGGCAGCTTTCCTTTTTCCTCTGTGATCTCTGATCGCCGGCGTTCTTTCTTTCTTTTTATTTTTTTTTGTTTGTTTGTTTGGTTTAACAGGACTCCGGTATCGGAGCATTTTGCCGATGGTTATCCTTCCGATGAGGAATGGCATGGTTACATTAATAATAATGACAGAGTACTTCTGAAGGTAATGCCTCTGTCAAATCCAAATTTCAATTCCTTAGTCTGCATCTGAATAAATTCTGCAACAATTGAGAAATGTAATTGCGATCATGGAAAAGTGAAAATTCAATTCCGTTCCTGATTTGACTTATGGACTGCACTTATTCTGATTGAGATATTTGTACATGCATATGGTGGAAAGTTGTTATTTCTAACTGTTTTGAATTTTCAGGTTATTCATTTCTCCTCACCTACATCTGCTGGTGCTGAGTGCATTGATCCTAATTGCACATGGGTTGAGCAATGGTAAATAAGCTTGCTCTACTCTTTTTAAAAGGTTTTGCAAATTGAGAAGGCTTGCTTTTGGCTAGCAGGTGTAACTATAATGCTCTCATAAAATTCTGATGTTTTGTATGGCATGTGACAAAATGATATACTTTCTTTCTTCATGTTTTGTTGATCTGGAGTGATTTATATTTTGTATAATAATCATCTTTTGGTTTACCGCACAATGTTTTAAGGCTAATTTTTCTGTTGCGATGTTATGCAATTGCATGATTATTTCCATATGTTAGGGTTCATCGTGCTGGGCCTCGGGAGAAGATATATTTCAAGCCAGAAGAAGTGAAGGCGGCTATTGTTACTTGTGGGGGACTTTGTCCTGGTCTCAATGATGTCATCAGACATGTGAGTGCATGAGAATGTGCTGCCATAATTTTCTGGTCAAATTTAGGCTGTGCTTTTTACTGAACCAACATGTTAAAGGTGCTTTCCCTGGTTTAGAAATCAAGGGAATATTTGGATGATTGGATCTTTAAGCATTTTGTAAATTTTACGTACAGGCATTTCTAATTTTCTGCTAATGTCTCAAGTTCATGCTAGTTAGCTGATAAGTGACTTGTAATTAAGAGATAAGGAATTAAGGACATGGAATCGGCCTGTGACTACTGGTCAGTAAATAATATTTTATATAATGGCCAAAATTATATAGAAAACATGGCAGTGTTCCTTCAAAGTTATCTTAAACGCCTTCAGGAAGGTTGAAGTAAAAACCTCTTGGAACTTAATAACAGCTAAACTTATTTTCAAAGTTTAACCTTTAATCTTAATGTTATAGGCTGGTTTAACTGTACATAAATGTTAAACTTTTTGCAGATTGTCATAACTCTAGAAATATATGGTGTAAAAAACATTGTTGGGATTCCTTTTGGTTATCGTGGGTTCTCTGATGAAGGCTTAGCTGAAATGCCTGTAAGTTTCTGTCTGTTCTAAAAAATGGTTTCCTGAAGTACTTATTAATTTTTATCAAATTCCTTTACTATTTAGATCCGGGTTGAATTTTCAGTTGTCACGCAAAGTAGTCCAAAACATCCATCTTTCAGGTGGAAGCTTGTTAGGAGTTTCACGTGGTGGACCTCCTGTTAGCAAAATTGTGGATAGTTTGAAGGTTATTTATCAATCCTTTTCTGTTTCTGATTAAATAATCTGTCTACTTGAGGAAATGCCAATAAGTAGATTTGAAGTGTTTCTGATGCACTTTTTTCATATTTATGCCAGGAAAGAGGTATCAACATGCTTTTTGTACTAGGGGGGAATGGGACGCATGCTGGGGCCAATGCCATACATGATGAGGTTGGCCTGTCTGACATCTTGTACACCAGATGCACACTATCTTTTATGCTTGCTTGGTGCTAATTCCTTTTAATATGAGAACAAACCACCCAGAAGCATTTCCATCTCCTTTAATTTATAAATCATTCTTTTTATTAATTTGTTTGCTGCTATGCTAATTGTTCTGCTCACCCACACACCCCTGCCCCTAACACATGCAGACAGAGTAAAAGAGGAGGATTGATATCTTGCTTCGAGTTTATAATATGTTCAGTATTTTGGATGTCTGAGACTCTGATGTAGAATGAAATGTGATGTAACTTTTTATTTTTATCTGGATCTAGAGTGTGAACTTCTTTATGAACTTCAATTTGAAGTGTGATATATGACAAAAGAATGCATTGCTTCAGTGGGGAATAGGAACTTATTGGGTTCTCTTTTGTGATTAAAAATCTCCAAGTTTTGTCATGGTTTTTCTCACTCTTCTTTGTCACCTTTTTTCTTTTTTTGCTTGTTTTCTTTTGTTCTTGAAATATATTTTGTATTCCTTTTTATTTCAGTGCCGTGCGAGAAAGATGAGAGTGGCTATAGTTGGTGTGCCAAAAACCATTGATAATGACATCCTAATGATGGATAAAACCTTTGGTTTTGACACTGCTGTTGAAGAAGCGCAACGAGCAATCAATTCTGCTTATATTGAGGTACATTTTCACTCTTCAAACATGGTACTGTTGAAAAACTTATCTGAATTCAGTATTGAGGAAATAAAAACTAAATCTGCTTAGGATTTCATATAAAAGATTCTACTTGAAGTTGTGCATTTAAATCTTTCATTTTTCTGCTACCTCAAAGTTAAACTGATAATTTCATTTTTCTTTTTTGCTTTTCCATCAACTAATCTTGTAATAGGCTCATAGTGCATACCATGGCATTGGTATTGTGAAATTAATGGGTCGTAGCAGTGGTTTCATTGCCATGCATGCATCCCTCGCTAGTGGACAAGTTGATATATGTTTGATTCCGGAGGTATATATGCTGACTCTTAATTGTTAATTTTAGCAAGCATATATTAATCACTTTCGATATGTGTCTTTACTAATGCTTTAAAGATATGCATTGTAAGGTACATTTCAATTTACATGGGCCTCATGGTGTGCTAAGGCATCTAAAATACCTAATTGAGACAAAGGGGTCTGCTGTGGTCTGTGTAGCAGAGGGAGCAGGGCAGGTAAATTGCAAAAATATATTTTTTGGATTACAAATGTTTTCCTTTCCTCTCTCTCTTCATCATCTTCTTCTTCTTCTTTTTTTATGAGAAACCATTTTCTGTAATATATCCTAATTTTAAGGTTTTATGGTCTTGATGGAACACATCACAATTAGAATTGTACAATGCACCTTGCATCTATAAAGAAGAGATTTGACCCCTGGAATTTCTCTTCCTAATACAGGAGTCCTTTGTCCCCTTGAATAACATGTTTGTCATTTCCAGGTTTTCACATTCCAATTTTGTCCCTTATTTCAAAGCCTGTAATTTTAGATAGTAAATGATGATTCTTTGTGTTGCAGGATCTTCTTCAGAAAACAAATGCCACAGATGCATCTGGAAACATAGTATTTGGAGATATTGGTGTACACATCCAACAAGAGGTTAGTAATTGCATTACATGCATTTCTCATATCCAACAATGATAAACTTTCTGTCAATGCTGTTGCATGAATGTGAAGTTTATTTTTAAATTTATAGTCATTCTGGCCAGTCATGAGAATTCTTTAGCATATCATGCTTAAGCTTTTAACACACAATCCCTATTAGCCGACTTAAAACTTCACAAAATATCCAATTTAATTGAAAATATTGAGTATGAAATAACTTGTTATTTTTTATGGAACAATAACTTGTTATTTTTGTAAATTGAAGTTGTTCCAAATACCTAATTGAGATGAGTATGTGGGAAATCAGGATGTCCTGGCATTTTTTAATGCCAGGACATCTAATCAAAACTACAGGATGAGTAAGATATAATGTAGGTCCCACTTAAGTCATGGTTGTGATTAGATGTCCTGGCATTTTTTATGCCAGGATGTCTTGATTTTCACTTTTCTGTACAAATGGCTGACAGTGCATGCTTGATTAAATTGATCTGAATGTAGTTTGGTAAACAAATGTGTTTTCTTGTAACTATTAATTGAAGTAATTATCGAATCTCGCCCCAGATTTGAGGTGTGTTCCAGTTATATGCATTCTTTATCAAATTTGCTAGAAAACAAAGGTGCATTTAAGCTTTTAGTGATGCATCTCAAGATTAGTCATTTCAGTGGTGTCAAGGCATCTTCGAAAAAACAAACAAAGCATCTCTGGTTCCTTCTAGCTGTGACTCTTTAAGTTGGTTTTGTATCGAGTATTAATTTTTATTTCCTTTCAGACAAAGAAATACTTTAGGGAGATTGGTGTCCCAGCTGACGTAAAGTATATTGATCCCACTTACATGATCCGTGCTGTCCGAGCAAATGCATCAGATGGAATTCTATGCACTGTTCTTGGACAAAATGCTGTAAGTTGTTATGTTTGATATTATGCATGCCAGATTATGAAAGTTTAGCCTGACAGAAGTGTGTCTTCAACAGTTTAACTCACTAAAAATGAGTTTCATCTTTTTAATTTCTTTTCTTGTGTGGTTTTACTGTTTGAATGGCATATGAGATGTTCCACTTGTATGTAATATCATTGATTCACGGGTTGCAGGTTCATGGAGCATTTGCTGGATACAGTGGTATCACAGTAGGGATATGCAACACTCACTATGCGTACTTTCCCATTCCTGAAGTGATTTCTCACCCCAGGGAAGTGGACCCTAACAGCCGCATGTGGCATCGTTGCTTGACTTCCACAGGCCAGCCTGATTTTATCTAAATACAAGGTGTTATTCTTAATTATGCTTAAGAAATTTAAATTCCCAAATGGTTGATTTAAGGACAGGGTAACAGCTTTAGAATTTTCTTAGGCTGGTACTTATAGGAAGTTAAAATGAAATAATACTGAAGATAACAACTTCAAGTTCAACTTAGGAAATTTTTTGTAGTGTATAGCATTCCTATTCCAGTTCTCACAGAGAGAATCAATAATAAAGCAAATACAATCTAATTCTCTAAAGCACTCGGTGGTTATTATCCACCCTTTTCTTGTATTAGATATTTGTATTTACGAATCATATTTTGCAACACTAGTGGAAAACTACGGGAATGCAGGCAGGCATGATGAGTTCATGTTGAATAAAAACCAGTTGTATGTTATAAATACTGGGATGTTTACTCTATTTGCGGCTGATCAACAGTGCAGTAGATTGAAAGTAAAGTAAGGACAATATTTCCTATGTTTCTTGCTGAGTTTTGCTGGATTATGTATTTAAGGTAAGAAACCTACTGAAGAAATCACAGAGAAATCCTACAGTTAGTAAATTTACTCTGCATCCCACAGTTAGCAAATTCAGCAAAAGCTTACTTTCAGCTTCTCATTTTATCAAATTTGAAGGTTTTAACCCTTCAACTTATAGTATGACATTTTAACATGTCATTTTACTAGATATGTAGGTTTTAGTCCCTTATCTTATACTATGACACTTTTAGCCCTTCATTTATTAAAATTGAAGAAAATAATTCTTACTTTGTAACATTTTATTAGTTCTATTAACTGATTATTAATTCTGTTAGCTAATTATTAGTTGACTGTTAGCTAATTATTAGTTGACTGTTAGCTGTCAAAAACCTTCTTTCAATTAACAGAATTAACTTTATAATATTTCGTTAATTCTGTTAATTGATTATTAGTTGACTGTTAGTTGATGAAATCTCATTGTTAGTTGATGAAAATCTAATTTTAGTTAACAGAATTAACAGTCAGTATAAAGTGAGGGTTATTTTCTTCGATTTTAATAGGTGAGGGGTTAAAACTTACAAATCTAGTAAGGTGAGTGGTTAAAAGTGTTATAGTATAAGATGAGATGCTAAAGGTGTTATGATATAAGGTGAGGAGTTAAAACCTTCAAATTTAGTAAGAAGAGGGATTAAAAGTAAGTTTTTACCTAGAAAATCCTAAAGTAATTCTTCTTGAATTTATTTATTCATTTGTTTTTTTATTGTGAATTGCACAATAAAAGATAATTTCTTTCTCATTAAGCACTCCATTTATTTACAAACAATTTAAATCTAAAATCTCTTACTCTACTCGAAAAAGAGATTACCATTATGCAGTGTACGTAGTTGTCTGTTCTGCATTTAATTTTATAACATGGAAATTAGTGTACAATGTGTCATGAAATGTCTTAAGGGAATCTTACTCAAACTACCTGAGAAATTTTGATTTACCCTTAAAATAACAATCATGTCCACAAACTCCAAACACATGATGAGACCAGGAATAACTCGTTAAACTAGGTTAACCAGATATTGCAGATTAGTCCTCTGTTTGACTAGTCAGAGGGATGCTTCTCCTTCCCTTTCGGTGGGATCTAATTTTTCTTTAGCCGATCATTCTGATTTGAAGCACCATCCGAGGAATCCATTCTCGCGAACAAACACAACCCCTACACACACCTAGGAGCACCCCTTCCTGCATATCCATACAAGACCCGAGTAGGCGGGTCGAATGTTAACTTTTCCAACACCGATTTGTTTACAACTTTTTATTGACAACAAATTCTTATAACAATCAGGCGAATGTGTAAATTTATATGATTTGCATGTTCATCCTACAAAGTGAGAAAATTAAATTAAAACCACTGTTATGTTTACGGGTGGGTACATTTTGGATCTTATTCAAAATATTTAAATTTTTAATGTTAAACTTTTTAAATTTTGGTTTCGATAATTTGGATATTAAGATAGATAAAATTAAAATAACTGAAATTAATTTTAATTTGGATATAGTTATTAACTTATATTTAAAATTACTAACATGAGTCATTAAATTATTTGAAATTTTTTAATATTAAATGATTTTATTTTTTTTAGATAGAGTTCTTTTATTTTTTTGTCGAATTTATAAACATGAATCTTAAAAAAAAATAAAAAAAATAAAAATTTTTAAAAAAAGTTTTAGATATTTTAACTTTAAAATAAACTGATACAGATTTAGAAAAGAAAA